GTTCCTTAAACGTCTTTTGTTGCATCACCGTCAACAGTTTTGAGAAGGCTTCAAGCTCCCGAAAGTCCAGATACACGCTGGCAAACCGGACAAAGGCCACTTCATCAACCGATTTAAGCGCATTCATTGCCGCCTCACCGATCTGCGACGAGGACACCTCTCCCTCGCCCATGGCCTCCAGCTGCTGCACAACCTGATTGACAAGCCTGTCCTGCTGCTCCTCCGACACGGGGCGTTTGCGTAAGGCCACCCGGATCGATTTGCCGAGTTTGTCCCGATCAAAGGGAACACGGCGCCTGTCGCTTTTTACGACCACCAATTCACGGAGCTGAAAACGCTCCACGGTCGTAAACCGCGTCGTACAGGCCGGGCAAATCCGACGACGCCGGATCGACGCTCCATCTTCTGCCGGGCGACTGTCCTTGACCTGGGTATCCATATGTCCACAAAACGGGCAGCGCATCATGTGTCTTTCAGTTTTTTAGACCAACCTGCAATATGGTGTCATGACATCGCTTTTGCACGCGTTTAAAACCAGTCAGGCAGATTTGATTTATATTGACGTCCCCATGTCGGGTTGCACATCCGATGATCGTCGCGATCCGGGGGGGTATCATTGCTGGATGCGCCGGAGTACAAACCATGATTACCCGTTACAAGCTTTCCGTCCTCACTCTGGGCGCATTGATCGCCCTCTCGTGTAAAGTGGAACATGCGCAGTCAGCCAGCCACAGCGAAACGCCCGCGTCCCCGGCCATGGACGCAAACCGCGATCTTAAAATTACTGGCTTGGCGCGGCTCTCAACCCATAAACGCTCCGTGAACAACATTTATCTTCAAATCACCAATGATGGTAACGTTGCCTATCTTATCACGGGCATTTCATCACCATCCTGTGCAACCATCTTTGGCGTTAATTTTGATCAGGATGACACGAAGCAAGCGGCAGAGCTTTTCACCCATTTCACCCTTCCGGCAAAAATGACCCTGGTTTTCCCCCGTGGCGGTTACCATCTCGTCTGTACGGATTTTCATCCCGAAGGCTCTGAGCGTTCTCAAATAAAATTAACATTTTCGTTTCTGGAAGGCGGAGACAAATATGTGACGCTCAAAATGGAGGAGACCGCTCCCAGCTCGCATTAGGCGGAGTCTTCTGTCGCCGCGTGATGCTCAACATCCTTG